CTGGCCAAGATTAACTTTCTTAACACTGTTTTCACCAAGTTATTCACTAGTTCACACAGCCATAATGACTCTCAACTGCCAACTGCATCAAATCTCAATTCAGCTCCATGCACAAGCTGTATCGGATCCACTAACTCATAGATCCTCCACATTCATCATTCGCTAACAAAGAAGAAATCCCAGTTGGGTGTGGTGGCTCATGCCTGTAATCCCAGCACTTTGGGAGGCTGAAGCAGGTGGATCACTTGAGGTCAGGAGTTCGAGACCAGCCTGGCCAATATGGTGAAACCCTGTCTCTACTAAAAATACGATAAAATTAGCCAGGTGTGGTGATGCACGCCTATCGTCCCAGCTACTCAGGAGGCTGAGGCAGGAGAATCACTTGAACCTGGGAGGCAGAGGTTGCAGTGAGCCAAGATCGCACCACTGCACTCCAGCCTGGGAGACAGGGCAAGACTTTAGTTTCAACCACTTGAATTCTATGACTCCCTACAAGCAAAACCCATATTTCTTTTTCATTTGTAACTTATTTAATTTTTTGAGACAGGTTCTTTCTCTGTCATCCAGGTTGGAGTGCAGTGGTGAGATATCGGCTCACTGCAACCTCCACCTGCCAGACTTAAGCGATCCTCCCACCTCAACCTCCTGGGACCACAGATGTGTGCCACCATGCCCAAGTAATTTTTGTAACTTTTGTAGAGACAGGGTTTTGCCAGGTTGCCCAAGCTGGTCTTGAACTCTTGGGCTCCTGCAGTCCTCCCACCTCAGCCTCCTGAAGTGCTAGGATTATAGGCGTGAGCCACTGTGCCTGGCTGCAAAACCCACATTTCTAACAATTCTCTCACGAAGCCTATCTTTCCTGCAGTTACGCATATCACATTGAGGCAAGGAATTTTAAAGAGTGTCGGCTTTCCAAGAAGTGTAGGAGTTGATATCTCTAGAGCTTCCAAACTTCTGCAAGCTGCTGCCTGGCCCTCTGCTTTATTTCTTTTTCTTTCTTTCTTTCTTTTTGAGATGGAGTTTTCTGCTCTTGCTGCCCAGGCTGGAGTGCAGTGATGCAATCTCGGCTCATCGCAACCTCTACCTCCCAGGTTCAAGCAATTCTCCTGCCTCAGCCTCCTGAGTAGCTGGGATTACTGGCAGGTACCACCATGCCCGGCTAATTTTGTATTTTTAGTAGAGACGGGTTTTCTCCATGTTGAGGCTGGTCTCGAACTCCTGACCTCAGGTGATCCGCCCGCCTCAGCTTCCCAAAGTGCTGGGATTACAGGCGTGAGTCACTGTGCCCAGATTTTTTTTTTTTTTTTTTTTTTTTTTTTTTTTTTTTTTTTGAGGCATAGTCTTGCTCTGTAGCCCAGGCTGGAGTGCAGTGGTGCGATCTCTGCTCACTGCAGCCTCTGCCTCCTGGGTTCCCGCGATTCTCCTGCCTCAGCCTCCTGGGTAGCTGGGATTACAGGTGCCCACCACCATGCCTGGTTAATTTTTGTATTTAGTAGAGACGGGGTTTCACCATGTTGGCCAGGCTAGTCTCCAACTCCTGACCTCAGGTGATCCGCCCACCTCAGCCTCCCAAAGTGCTGGGATTACAGGCATGAGCCACCAAGCCTGGCAGCTAAGGTGGAGAGAGAGGAGAAAAGGAAACAAAAGCAAAAGGAAGAAGAAAAAGTAAAAGAAGAAAGAAGTTGGGGCCGGGCACGGTGGCTCACACCTGTAATCCCAGAACTTTTGGGAGGCCAAGGCAGGCGGATCACTCGAGGTCAGGAGTTTGAGACCAGCGTGGCCAACATGATGAAACCCCCATCTCTACTAAAAATATAAAACTTAGCGGGGTGTGGTAGCAGGTATCTGTAGTCCCAGCTACTTGGGAGGCTGAGGAAGGAGAATTGCTTGATCCGGGGAGGTGGAGGCTGCAGTGAGCCGAGACTGTGCCACTGCACTCCAGCCTTGGCAACAAGAACGAGACTCTGTCTCAACAACACCAACAACAAAAAAAAAAAAAAAAAAAAGAAGAGGCTGGGAAGAGGAAATGATAGGTACCATTATGAAGTGTTTACAGATACTTTCTATAATTACCTACAATCCTCAGAACCAGAACCACCTTGCAAGATAGGTACTGTTGTCCTTTTTTTTTTTTTTTTTTTTTTTTTAAGACAGAAGACTGAGTCAGGAGGCTGAGTCAGAAGAATCACTTGAACCCAGGAGGTGGAGGTTGCAGTGAGCCAAGATTGCGCCACTGCACTCCAGCCTGGGCAACAGAGCGAGACTCCATCTCAAAAAAATAAATACATAAAATAAATAAATAAATAAATAAAGTGGAGACAGGAAGTGAGGCCTTACCAACAACTGCATCACATGCTACTAAAAAATAACAGCACGTTAGTTGCCAACAATGATCTATCATTAACTTTTCTGCATGACAAAATTTAAGATTTTCCCTTATCCTTCTATCCAGACCTCTTTGCTTTATCACTTGTGCTAGGGAAGCAGGGGCCTCAGAGAGCCAGTCTAAAACCATTTTAAGTTCAGCTCCATCTTGAAACTAACAAGGCACATTCCTTGTCAGTCACAACCCATACCTGTTTACAGTTGGGTAAACAGTTTAAAGATACCTGCAAGGACAGACTCCTCCAACTACAGAAAATCCAGATGTCCCAATACCCATAACAATATATGCTTTTAAGATAATTATAGTTCTGGCTGGGGGTGGAGGCTAAGGCAGAAGGATTGCTTGAGGCCAGGAGTTCGAGACCAGCCTGGCCAACATAGCAAAACCCCCTCTCTACTAAAAATACAAAAATTAGCTGGACATGGTAGCACATGCCTATAATCCCAGTAGTGAGACCCCATCTCTACAACAAAATATTTTTGTAATTAACTGGATGCACTGGTTCATGCCTGCAGTCACAGCTACTTGGGAGGCTGAAATGGAAGGATGTAACTGTAATCCAGCTACTAGGGAGGCTGAGACACAAGAATGGCTTGAACCCAGGAGGTGGAGGTTGCAGCGAGCTGAGATCACACCACTGCACTCCAGCCTGCGCGACAGATCAAGACTCTGTCTCAAAAAAAAAAAAAAAAAGGAAGAAAGATAATTATAGTTTTGCTTTGATGTACTTACCTAGTAGAATGTCAAGGATAGTTAAATCAACAGAATAATAAATTTTGTCATGCCATTGGCCCATCTGCACATTGACTCAGCTTAGTTTAGTCTGTACAAAAACAAGACCCCTATATAAGAAAAACTTGGCGGGCCGCGGTGGCTCACGCCTATAATCCCAGTACTTTGGGAGGCCGAGGTGGGCGGATCACGAGGTCAGGAGACTGAGACCATCCTGGCTAACAGGGTGAAACCCCGTCTCTACTAAAAATACAAAGAAATTAGCCAGGTGTGGTGGCGGGCACCTGTAGTCCCAGCTACTCAGGAGGCTGAGGCAGGAGAATGGCTAAACCCGGGAGGCGGAGCTTGCAGTGAGCTGAGATCGCGCCACTGCACTCCAGCCTGGGCGACAGAGCAAGACTCTGTTTCAAAAAAAAGAAAAACTTAAAGGTCAGGGGCGGTGGCTCATGCCCATAATTCCAACACTTTGGGAAGCCGAGGAGGTTGGATAGCCTGAGCCCAGGAGTTCCAGACCAGCTTGGGTAGCATGACAAAACCCTGTCTCTACAAAACATACAAAAATTAGCTGGGTGTTGGGGGGGCACGCCTGTAGTCCCAGCTACTTGGGAGACTGAGGTGGGAGGATCGCTGGAGCCCAGGAGGTGGAAGCTGTAGTGAACTATAATCATGCTACTACACTCCAGACTGGGCAACAGAGTAAGACCCTGTCTCAAAAAAAGAAAAAAGAAAAAAGAAAGAAAAGGAAAAATTAAGACAGTGTGTTCCTCTGTTTGCTTTCTGAGGACGCCCTACTCCGTAAGGGGACAGCTTTCAATAAACTCTCTCTTCTCATAGCACTCTGCGGCTTGCTTTGAATTTCTTCTGCATGAGATACAAGAATCCTCTCTTGGGGTCTGGATCAGGACCCCTTTTTCCAGTAACACGTAGACACACACACACATTCAGTTTAAAAGCCCATATTACAATGTACATCCACCTCATCTTCACACTGAGATTTGGGTTACATCTGTCCCTTTTTGAGTTTTGACCCAAGTTAACCTTTTAAGACGCTCTTTATTTCTTCCCCTTTTGCCTCAATTCACTTTCCTCCTCCTCCTCCTTACATGCCTTTTATAGCAGCCTCTCCTTTTCTCTTTTATTCATTTTCTACACATTTCTCTTACTTTAAGATCAGAAGTCAGGCGCGGTGGCTCACACCTGTAATCCCAGCACTTTGAGAAACCAAGGCGGGAGGGTCTCTTGAACCCAGGAGTTCGAGACCAGCTTGGGCAACATAGTAAGACCCCTGTCTCTACAAAAAAAAAATTTAAAAATTAGCTGGGCATGATGGTGTGCGTCTGTAGTCCCAGCTACTCAGGAGGCTGAGGCGGGAGGCTCGCTTGAGGCCAGGAGTTCAAGGCCGCAGAGAATCACGATCTCACCACTGCACTCCAGCCTGGGTGACGCGACCAGACCCTGTCTCTAAAAAGAAAAAAAATAGAGGGGTGTATCTATCACGCTCTCAATAGATATTTAGCTTGAGTTCTATACTTTTTTCATGACCGTTTGTCTCCTGTTTTTCAGGTCCTTCCTCCTCCCCTACACTCAATTCCCACCCTGCTCCCTCTTCACAGCTCACGCCCCTTCCAGGGGTCCTGCCTGCTGCCTGGAACTCCAATGATCGTCCCATTCACCTCTCACCCCTTTTCCCGCCTTTTTGCCCCACAAGGCTTCAAAGCGCGAGGATCTCATTGTCCTCCTCCCCCATCCTCCAACCAGCCCACAGGACAGCCGCGTTACCATGACGACCGGGCTCCTAGAAGCTGCAGTCAAGGACCTGGTTGCCATGGTTTCCGCTTCTCCGCCTCCAGCCCCGCCCGCGCTCCCCGCGGCGTCGGCGCCTGCGCAGTGTGTGGCGTGTCGGGAGTCAGAACCTGGGCGGGACGGGGCGGGGCTTCGGCCGAGAGGGAGGGAAGCCGGAGAAAGGATAAGAAAGGGAGTGGGACTGGCGCCTACGGTGGCCGAAGTGGGACGCGCCGAGCCGGAGGCTGCAGGATGGTAGGCTGTGCGAAGAGGGAGGGGAGGGGGAAGCGAGGGGCGTGGGCTGCACCTGCGGGGGTCCTCGGGGGCCGCCCTCGGGGTGAGCCTCTCTGTCTTCCCTCTGGTCCTCAGAGGCCTCCCTTGCCTCAGCTGGTGGGCGAGCCGGGCTCGGGAGGAAGAGTGGGAGGTGGCATTCGGGAGAGGGGCGGGGAGGGGGTGCATTTGCAGGGCGAGCGTGGGCTGACGAAGGGGCGGCGGGGCAGTCCCGAGCCGGGAGGGGCGCTTGGGTCTTGGCTCCCGGGGGTCCCTCGATCCCCGCCGCAGGGAAGCAGCCTAAAGCAGAGGGTTGTGGGGGTCTCTTTGCAGAGGGAGGGAGTGGGGGGTCACCGAGAACCCCTTCCCGGGCGGCACGGGCAGGAGCGGGGACCCCGGTGGGGAAAGGGGTGTGGGAGGGGAGTTTCCGGGTCGGAAAAGAGAGCGCCCTATTGGGTTCGTGGCGGTGCTTGCCTAGAGGCTGGGCCCAGGTAAGGAAGAGAGGTGGACTCGTGGTTTTGCTCCGAGGGACCCAGGCTTTGGGATCCCGGGCTCCAGGGCTCTCTGCCCCCAATCCCACTCTGTTTCCGGAACCCAGGCCTTCCGTCTTCCTGCTCGCTCCCCACCCCCCTATCTGAGCGCCGCACGAGGCTCCCCGGCGCCCCTCTTTTCCCCTCCACCAAAAAAATCAGTTCTCCTGAATTCTGATTTTTCACCTACTAAGCTATACAGTGCCACACACCCAGGGATTCCAACCCTGGGCATGTCCATGAATAGGAGAGCTGCTGGGGGAAGGAGAAGACTCCAGGATGTGGCCCAGACCCCCTGGAACTGGGAAGCTGGGGTGCACTGGGCAGTGAGGGTTCTGTCTTCCATCCCACTTGACCCAGCTTGCTGTCTGTTCTGCAGACATTCTTCAGGGGAACCCCCTGGGTGGCGGGGCCCTGAGGGAGATTGGTCACCTGGTGTCTGGGGAGGAGTGGGCGCTTAGCAGGAGGCACCCTAAAAGGGAGAAAAGTTAAAGAGAAATGTCAAAGACATCTGGGTACCCGCAGAGAGGAAGGTGGGATTTGGGCATCTCCATACCCTGTGTGGTGTTGGAAATACATACTGCAGAGGAGGATACCCCTGGCACTGGAGGGTGGTGTGTTTGGGATATCATTAAGATCTTATGGTTATGATGGGGTGGAAAATTGAGGTAGCTTCTCCAGGGACAAAATACCAGATTTCAGCACGGTGGTGGATAGAGAGAGGGTGGAAGAGAACAGGCATTTCTTTGGCATTGGTTACTGGTTTCTTGTCGCTCTGCTAGGCATTTTACTTACCTTTAGAAAGCAGAACCAGTAAGCAAGAGGTCAGGGAATCATGGTAATAATAATAGTAACTAACAACCGGGTGCAGTGGCTCACACCTGTAATGCCAGCACTTTGGGAGGCCGAGGTGGACGGATCACCTGAGGTCGGGAGTTCGAGACCAGGGCCTGGCCAACGTGGTGAAACCCCGTCTCTACTAAAAATACAAAAATTAGCTGGGTGTGGTGGCACATGACTGTAATCCCAGCTACTCAGGAGGCTGAGGCAGGAGAATCACTGGAACTCAGAAGGCGGAGATTGCACTGAGCAGTGATCGCACCACTGCACTCCAGCCTGGGTGACAGAGAGAGACGACAGAGAGAGACTTTGTCTCAAAAAAAATAATAATAGCTAACATGTTATACTGCCTGCCTGTGCTAGGGACTTGCATATATTAACTCATTTAGTCTCAACAACTGTGCAAGGCAGGTACGATGTCCATTTTACAGATAAGGAAACTGAGGCCCAGAGACTTACAGTAGTAATTGGCCCAAGGCCCTGCATAACTAGTAGAGCCAAGATTTGAACCCAAATGATGGACTCAGAAGCTCTGACTTCCCCCTGCTGGTGGAAATACCCAGCATTGAGAGCAAGGGGCTGGATGTTGGAAGAAAGTAGAGAAGAATTAGCCGGGATGAGTTTGGGGAATATGTGTTTACCCTTGGTTCTGCCCTCCCATCCCCCGCAGATGCGATTCATGCTGCTATTCAGCCGGCAGGGAAAACTGCGGCTGCAAAAATGGTACCTGGCCACTTCGGACAAGGAACGGAAGAAGATGGTGCGGGAGCTTATGCAGGTTGTCCTGGCTCGCAAGCCCAAGATGTGCAGCTTCCTGGAGTGGAGGGACCTCAAAGTTGTCTATAAGAGGTGACTCCCCACCTACTTTCAGACCTGCCTAGATTCGAGTTGGGCAGTGGGTTACAATGGCTGAGAAATGGTCATCCTTTAGGTCAGGGAGACCTGGGAGCTGAGGACCTCTGGAGGACAGTGATGAATGTCAGCTTCCTTTTTTTTCCCCCCCAAACTCTTAAATAAGTTCTTGTTTACCACTTGGTTTTGCTCACGCGCAACACCTGCCTCACTCACGTGTCCCTTTGGGCCCTATCTTGCCCCACCGCACATGTCCCTTGCAGTCGGTCCTGCCCTACTTTTCCTAACACACACGCGCACACACCCTTTCCAGTTCCTTCTCTTCGGAGCAGGTAAATTACTTGGCTCAGGTTTTTGCTGAGTCAGACTTAGGAGGTCAGAGGGCAGGAAGGAAAAAGTGTGCATTCTTTGAGTGTTTTAAAGACAGCACAAAGAGGCAAATGAGTTACTCTTTACATGCCCTGGGGCCACCCCACCTGTGGCCAGCCAGGGCACAGACCACCCCCAGGCTGGTGGGAGGTTTGAGCCCAGAATGCCTGGGTCCTGAAGCAAGCTTGTAGCATGTCTCATGCATTCCTCTCCGCAGATATGCCAGCCTCTACTTCTGCTGCGCCATCGAGGGCCAAGACAATGAGCTCATCACACTGGAGCTGATCCACCGATACGTGGAGCTCTTAGACAAATACTTTGGCAGTGTAAGTCTCCTCTGCCCACCAGTTTCCATTCCCAGCAATCCCCTTTGGTAATCTACCAAACTTTGAGGCACCTCCAGTCTCTGCTCTGGAAGTCTCAGGGGAGAGGTGAAGTTGGAGCAGTAAGAACAGTAATTAATTTCCCTTTTTAAGCTTTAAGCCTATTAACCATGTCCCATAATCGTCCCTGAGTGGGGAGAGTGGGGGCAGGATCAGGCAGTTAATCTCCACTTAGAGCTTAGCTCGGACTTTTCACACAGAGACCAAGTTCAGATTTTTTGTTTAGTTTAAATTTTTATTTTTTTAGAAACAGAGCCTCACCCCGTCACCTGGAGGAATGCCTCCTATGGCTGGAGTGCAGTGGCACAATCATAGCTCACTGCAGCCTTAACCTCTGGGCTCAAGCCATCCTCCTGCCTCAGTACCCTGAGGAGCTGGGACTTCAAGTGCACACCACTACGCCCAGCTAATTTTTGTATTTTTTTTTTTTTTTAGAGATGGGGTCTCGCTATGTTGCCCAGGCTGGTCTCTGGGGCTCAAGTGATCCTCCCACCTCAGCCTCCCAAAGTCTGGGATTACAGGCGTGAGCCACTGTACCTGGCCCCATATTCAGATTTTTATCACTGGTTCCTGATCTTGGATTTGCATTGGAATTTTCTGGAGAATTTTTTTGAATAGCAATGTCCACGTTCTACTATCAGAGATTCTGAATTAACTTATCTGAGGGATAGCTCAGATCTTAGATGGGGTGTAGTAATAACTCCATAATTTGTGTCCCACTTAACAATTTATAAAATGCTTTTGGGTCCTCTTGTTTGCTCCTTATCCCATCCTAGCAGTAGGTGTTGGTATCTCCATTTTTGAGGCCAGAAAACTGAGACTTAGAGATGTTTAAGGACATGTTTAGCTAGATGGTTAGTGGCAGAGCCCTGCTTGGAACTCAAGTCTTCCACCCCATGATCCAGAATTCTCTCCTTCCCTGCCCTATGGTGTCTAGGAAGCGGGGTTACCGCAACCTTTGGTGGGAACAACGTCACAGATTTTGTGGGGAAGGCAAGGGGAACCACAGGCAAGGGTAGATAAAGCAACTAATGTTTCATGATCAGGAGGAAAGAGGCAAGAGGAAGAGGGAAAAAACTGATCCAAGGCAAGGTGCGGTGGCCCATGCCTGTGATCCCAGCACTTTGGGAAGCCGAGGCAGGTGGGTCACTTGAGGCCAGAAGTTCGAGACCAGCCTGGCCAACATGGCAAGACCTTGTCTTTACAAAATATTTTAAAAATTAGCTGGGCATGATAGCGTGCACCTGTCATCCCAGCTACTCAGGAAGCTGAGGCAGGAGGATCACTTGAGCCCAGGAGTTCGAGGCTGCAGTGAGCTATGATCATGCCACTGCACTCCAGCCTGGAAAACAGAACAAGAGACCCTGTCTCTAACAAAATAACGAAACAAAACAAAAAAAGTGAAAAAGCTGAACCAACTACTAAGGCTTGGGGGTTGAGGGCAGAACCCAAGGTGGGAGGCATTGTCTAGAAAAGGAAGTGGCTCCAGTTGACCCTCCATGCTCAACTCAGCCTCTCCCCGCCCTCCCAGGTGTGTGAGCTGGACATCATCTTCAACTTTGAGAAGGCCTACTTCATCCTGGATGAGTTTTTGATGGGGGGGGATGTCCAGGACACCTCCAAGAAGAGTGTGCTGAAAGCCATCGAGCAGGCTGACCTACTGCAGGAGGTATGGGCCAGGGACAGTGAGGAGGAGGAGGAAGCTCACAGTGGTGGACAGGGCCTTCCCTCCCCTGGACGCCCTGCCTGTCCTGCCCATCGTCACCAAGGGCCCCCCCTCCCTGTGGTATCTGACCCCCACTACGCCCGGCTCTCCAGCTTACCCTCAAGCCCTGACCCCATGGGGTGGGAGGTAGGGTGGCAGATAGCCCACCTGTGCACCCCTCATTCCAAGCTCTGTCCTTCCCCCAAGCCCCCAGATGTCTCATGGCCACCCAGTCTCCTTTGTCCAATTCTCTGAGCAAGGCTTAACGCCAAGGGGTTAAGGGTTTGCTTTGGAGTTAAGGGTTGCTTGGAGAATTGGAGAAGGAGCACCTGGTAGGTCATTCTTTTCTTCCCTGGTTTCTTCCCCTACCCCTCTTTTTTTTTTTTCAACACACACATACTCCAAAGCCTCTGCATCTCAGGAGGAAAAGGCTATGGGGATTTGGGGGCTGGGGCAGAGGGCACCTGGATGTTGGTTCTCCCTGCTCCCCAGCGCCCCCGCTGTCACCCCATTACTGCCTGCCCCCTCTCTGCTGTGCCATCACCGAGCCCTGGTGCAGGGAGATGAGTCACCGGAATCTGCAGTGATGAGCGAGCCCGGCCTGAGCTGGCTCTGAGGAGGGGGAGAGATGGGGGGTGAGGGGGGGGCTCATCTCTGCAGTGGGAGAGAGGGCAGAGCTGAACTTGCCACCTCACTGGTTGAGCTTCACCTTCCCACACACTCGCATATACGCACCCTGGCACACACACACACGGCCTGGCACACACACCCACCGTGTCACCAGTGTTGCGCTCAGACCCTAATGACGCATCTCCCTGCTGCCTCGTTCACCTTCCCTCAGGGACCTGGCACTCACCTCCCACTGCCTCACCCGACTCTGAAAAACAGGACCCAGCCATTTGTACCCCCCAGGGCCCCAGAAAGATCCCCCACCTCCTTGTCCCGGCTTCACTCCCTTTACTCCCAGGTGTCAAGGCGGGGCCCCTGCTCACCAAGCTCCCAGCTTTGGGCTCTCTGGGTGGTGACGCCCCCTGAAGGGCTCGCTGGTCCAGCCTTGGGCTCACATTGGCTTCTCTCCCCCTCCCCCGTGTCTGTGCCTCCCCCGTCTGACTCTTCCTCGTGACTGCTGTCTTGCCCACCCTGTCGGCCTCTCCTGGTGTCTGTGCGTCACCCTCTGTCTGTCTCTGCCTTAGGAGGATGAGTCGCCGCGGAGTGTGCTGGAGGAGATGGGTCTGGCATAGCCCCCGCTGGGCTGGGGCATGGCGATGGGGTCCTGGCAGCATGGCGGGAACGGCTGCTTCTCCTCTGCCCAGGGCCCTATTCTTGGTGGGACTCGGCTGCCCCTCCTCTGCTGCCTCACCTTCTTTCAGAGTGAGCTGTGGGCTCAGGCCCTTCAAACATTCCCTCCCTCCACCCCCTACCTCCACTTTCCCCTTTACCCACCAAAGGTTTTAGGAGCTAGGAGGCAGGAAAATGTGACCCAGATGGGGGTGCTATTTGGCTTTTATTCCCTGCCTTTGCAGAACTGATGTCATCCCAGACGTCCTTCCCTCCCTAATAACTGTAAATATATAAATATGTCAGGTTAAAGGGAAAAGGTTTTCAGGGCACTTCTCTTCCTCTCTGCCCCGTAACCTACCTCCACCCTCCCCCTAGCCAGCCAGGGCGGCTTCTCTGCCTGGGAGGGGAGCCAGACCCCTCTCTTTCTCCTTGGCTGCAGTGGGGCTTCTATCCAGTGCCAGGGAGGAACAACATAGTTAATTTTTTTCTAACCTTGCCACTTTGAGGGAAGGAAGGGTTGGGGGAAGGGCGAGCTTTATGGGACCCTGGTCCTGGCCTTGTCCCTCTTTCACTCCAGTTCTGGGTGAGGCAGGAGCTGGGAGGGGTGGGGAGGGGGAAGTGTCTGCCTTTATTTCCTTTCTTCTGAAATAAAAGGAAAAGCATTTCTGGACTTTGCTGGCCTCGGGCTCCATGAAGGAAGGCAGGGCTGCTGGCATCATCGGGAGGCCAAGGGGATCCTGCCAGCCTTGGGAAGAAAGGGAGAGCACGCAGTTAAATGAGAATTTCAGATACACAAATCATTTTGGGGATACATGTGTCCCAGCAATGTTTGGGACACATTGAACTCTAAAACTTCATCCGTTGTCTATCTGGAATTTCAAATTTCCATTTCCTGTATTTTATCTGGCCACCCTACCTTAAACGGATTTTAATGCCCAATGAGTCTCCAAACAGGCTGCCCCCAACTCCCTGAGCTGCCTTTACGGAAGGAGGAACAACTCTTCAGGATGCGGGTCTGTTATGGGCGATTTCATTTGCCCGGTTTAGTTTTATTTGAATCAGTTCACAAGTACCTGTGATTAGAAAAGGCTTAAGATGGGAGGCCAAAGTGGGCAGGTCGCTTGAACCCAGGAGTTCCAGACCAGCTGAGCAACATGGCAAAACCCCATCCCTACAAAAAAAATACAAAAATTAGCTGGGCATGATGGTGCACACCTGTAGTCTCAGCTACTCAGGAGGCTGAGGTAGGAGGATCACCTGAGCCCAGGAAGTCGAGCTTGCAGTGAGCTGTGATTGCACCACTGCACTCCAGCCTGGGCAACAGAGTGAGATCCTGTCTCAAAAAAAAAAAAAAAAAAGCTAAGAAGTGGCTTTAGCCAGGGTGTCCCTGTGGCTGCCACCCCCTCCTCCCCGCATTTCTTGCAAAGTACCTAGGACCGGGAGTTTAGGGAGCAGTAGAGGGAGGTGGGTGGGTGAAAACAGGAAGCTCTGGCATTAAACCCGTGTGGCCCCAGGATCTTGGGAAGAAGGAGCCGAGTGGCGCCCAGAGCTGTGGCACCTTCTGCGGGTCGCCTTTTTCTTTTGAATCAGAGGTGGCTGGACTCATCGCAGACAATTGGCTCTTTTATTGCATTCCGCTGGGCCTCTCTCTGTCAAGCCCTGGGGAAAGATGACTTTCCCACCATCCCCCAAGCTGGAAGTGGAATTTCGGGTTTTTTAATGGGTGCAAGCCATATCCTCCTCTAAAAACAGTTTCAGACTTTCCCCACTTACCCCTCGCCTTAGTTTGGGGGCAGGAAGCAGGAGGACATGGGGACTGTGGCTGGCGCTTCCCTCACCGCCCCTTGGGAAGGACCACACAGGCCCAAGGGGACGGGTGAATAACCGAGAACAAAGTCCTAATAAAATAGTCACTTTTATTTCTTAGCAAAACTATTTCCTCCGTGAGGGGTATTTACAACAGAGAAAGGAAAGAAGGGGTCAATTCACAGCGATTTGGAGAGGCTGGAGGGGCTCGTGGGAGGCCCGAAGGGCTGGAGACAGACACTTCACACAATTAACTGGAACTGCTTTTTTCCGGTTTCGGACGGGGACGTCCCCAGAGGGACTTGATGGGGCTGGGGCCCCGCGTGGGGAGGGAACTCGCACAAACCACCCGCCGTCCTGGGCTGGCCCCGGGTCACCCGCAGGTGAGCTCTGGGAGTTCGGGCTCTGGACCCGGGAAGGGGGTCTGGCAGGTCCCGGCGCAGCCCGGGGACGGGGGCGGGGCCGAGGGGCGGGGCCGGGTCGCATGCAAACACCGAGGGGGAGCGGGCGACACGGAGGGGGGCGGCGGCGCGCGCGGCGGGGGCGCGCGGGGGCGGGGCCGGGGGGGCGGTCACGGGCGCCGGAGCAGCACGTGCTCGATGTAATTCTCCAGCTCTTCCTGCTCCTGCAGCCGGCGCTCCTCAGCCTCCGCCTCCTCCTGTGCGCGCCGCGCCTGGGCCTCCCGGCCGGGATAGTGGCGCGAAGGCGGCAAGGCGTGGTGGTAGTGGCGGCGGCGCAAGGCCGAGGGCGGCTGCAGTGTCCGCGGCCGGATGTAGTTGGGGAAAGGGTGGTACGGCCCTGGCGGGTACACCTCGTCCTCCTCCCGATCCCAGGGCGGGAGCACCTCGTTCCAGTCCGGTAGCTCGTCTCTAGCGGGGGCGGGGGCCGGGGGCGGGGGCTGCGGGGAGCGGACGTGGGTGGGGGCGGGGGCGGCACGGGGGGGCGGCACGGGCTCAGGAGGGGCGTTCTTCTTCCGCTTCCGCTTCTCCTCCACCTCCTCGATGATGCTGACCACGTCGTCCGCTGGCAGGTGGAGTTTGGTGGACAGCTCAATGAGGCTGTCGATCGTCTGCGGGTCCATCTCCTCGTCGTCGTCCTCCTCCCCGCCCTCCTCTGCCCCCTCGGCCTCCTTCCGCCGGTGGCCCGGCGTCTCCTCCTGGGAGCGCTTGTCCTCGGCGCCGGCTTCCCCGTCCTCCTCCTCCGCGAACAGGAGCGCGTTCTGCCGCGCCCTCTCCGCCTCCTCCGCCTCTGCCTCCGCCTCCGCCGCCTCCTCATCCTCTTCCCCCACCCTCTCCTCCCCGCCGCGTCTCTCCTGCTCCGCCTCCTCCTCCTCCCTTGCGCTCTCTCGCTCCTCTGCCGCCTCCTGCAGCCCCCGACCCCCGAGGCCGCGCTGCCGGGCCCCGCCCTGCAGCAAATACTGGAGCAGCAGGTCCGAGGCGAGGTCGGCCAGCCGCTCTTCCTGCGCCGCGGCCTGCCGCGTGGCCTCCGCCTGCCGCCGCCCGGCCTCCACCTGCGCCAGCCCTTGCTGGAGAAGGCGCTCGCCCGCCTCGGAGCCGCCAAGGAGTGCGCTCTCCGGCCGGCGCGCCTTGGGGAACGGGGCGGCCAGGCCTTGGTACGCCTTGGACAAGGGTGCCAGTGCCTCGCCTAGGTGTGTTTTGGGGGAGGACACTCCTTCCCCGAACTTGTGGGTTTCGGGAAGGGGCCCGCTCTCGGGCATACGCGCCTGGAATTGCGAGGGGGCCGGGGGCGGCAGGGGCGCGCGCTCCGGGACACGCGCCTGGAACTCTCCCCAGGAAGCGCGCCACACGCGCTCTGGCCCCGGGCTCTCCAGATTCACTCGGGTCAGCGTGTGCGTGCGGGTTTCCGTCTCTGCTGCCGCCGTCTCCTGCTGGCGCTTGGCGCTACTTGGACTGAAATCTCGCAGTTCCTGGAGCAGGGACGCTAGCGCCTCGAGCTCCTCGGAGGGATCGCTCGCCTCGGGCCCATTCTCCGGAGTCTGAGGGCGAGGCGGAGCCGCGGGCTCCGGGCTCTCCGGCGCCGGGAGGCTGTGGGTCTGGCTGCGCACGGTCTCGGTCAGCAGAGCTTCAGCGGCTTCTTCCGCCGGTCCCTGCTGGGAGCCGCTTGGTGCGGGGGGCGAGGCGGGGCGGTCGAGTGCCTGCAGCAGCACCGCGGCCAGCGCCCGGGGATCCACGCCCTGGAAAAGCTCTCCCTCGTCCTGCGGCTCGGAATTCCGAGCGGCTCGGACCTCTGGGGCGCTGCCATCCTTTGGCCCGGGCACTGCGTCCCCGGCTACCGGCTCTTTATGCTCAGAGCTGAGGGGAGGAGGCTGCGCCTCAGGGCGACCCGGGGGTGCTGCCCCTAACCCCTTGATCAGCAGAAGGCAGAAGAGGGCCGAAGCCGACAATCTGAGGGCTTTCATGACCAAGGGGCTGCCGGAGACTGAAAAATAGAAGGGACCAAAAAAAGAGGATTTCTGTAAGAATTCCCCTCTCTAGGTCTACGTTCCCTTCCCCCACCTTTCAGCAGGAAACCCGGGGCTTCCCTGATCCCCCAAACCTTACCCAGAAGAGGAACGTTTAGGAGCAAAGGAGGAAGATGTTGTGCCGATCTCTGGAGCCGTGTAAATGGGAAAATAACCACTGAAGCCCTCGCTTACCCAGGGTCTCCTCGCCCCCTTCCCTGAGCCATCTCACTGCCATCGCCCACGTACTAAGCAGCAGCAATATGGGGGAAAAAAAATCTCTGCTCCCTCCCCGTAGGACTCCCCGGATGGTGCGTGGGCGACTTCAGCAGCGAGAGAAAAAGCTGCGACTCCCCCGTTTACCGGGGACCCTTACCAGGGGGCTCCCTGCTGTGTTTGCAACACCCGCATCGAGAGGAGAGAGAACCCTCCCTCACGCCCACGGCTGCCGAGGGTTTGAGGGACGGACAGCGGAGTATTTACCAGCTGGTGTCACGACGCGAGAGGTGGAGAGGAGGGTCGGGGCGGGGTGGGGACAGGGGAAGATCGGGACGCGTCCGCCTCGGCTCGGAGCGGTGGCCGGGATACGAGCGACGGTCGAGGTCTGGCGTCCCGTGGGCTGGGCTCAGCTGGGTCGGCGCGGCTTCGGGCGGCTCGTTCGCTCCGGCTTCAGCACGCTGGACAGCGCCCGCGCCTCCACCGCCTTATAAAGGGGAGCGCGCGGGGTCACGTGGGCGCGCCCCTCCCCATTGACGTCAATGTTCATTCATGGGGAAGCGGGCGGGCGCCCGGCGGAGGGAGGACGCCCTATGATTGGAGGGTGCCTGCCTCTCCCGGCCTGCGCCTGCGCGCTCGGGCCTTCGGCTGAAGGGGTGTGCGCTAGCGGAGCTCCGGGAAATGAATGAATGAATGAATGAATGAAATGCTGAAGCGGGCAGGGCGGGGGGCTATGAATGAATGAAGGAGGGACGAAGAGAAAAGGATGAATGAATGAATGGGAGAATGAATGGAAGGGTGGATGCAGAGGCGCTGGAAGGCGGGAGGGTGGGTTGCAGAGCAACTTGGAGCTGCTGGATGGAGCCCGCGTTGCTGAGTGGAATAGAAAAAGGGCAGCCCCAGCGTCTGACTGGACACCAGTGGGAGATCAATACTGGGGAGGGGAAGGATAAAGATTCAAGAGCCGAGGAGGGGGCGGGTTCCCTACCCCAAGACCACGCGCCCAAGGACGGCATGAACCTGAGCGCGGAGGGACAGATCTGCGCGCCTGCAGGCGCTGTCCGCGGATCAGCGGTGCGGGTGGCAGCCCCCTGGCAGGGTCAGATGGGTGGATCTTGCGGTTTTGGTAATCCCATCGGGAAGGGTCCGAGTCGGAAGAGAAGGGGGAAAGAATGAGCATGTGTGTG